CGCAGAGTTTATTTTATTTTAATAACACTTGTAAGAATATACATGTGAAACGTAAATAATATAATATAGAATCCAAAACTGATTTGAAAATGTAGCTCATACCCATACAAGCTGTAAAGTTTAACTAAAACTATATAAGATAGTAAGTTTTAAAATTACTATTTAAAACTTCAATGTTTTACATGACGGTCAAGTATATTTACCACTCCCCAAAAGGTTATTCTAGCCTTGAGACAAAAGATAGATGTGCCAAGTGGCTAAGATATAGTCTACAACACGGTTCTTGACCTACTTGGGTTAAGTGTTATCCTAGGTCAAACAATGTTTACTTGTCAAAATTGAGGCTTATGAGCTCTTAGCATCAAGTGTAGATAGGTTAGTCACGTTGTTAGTCACAAAGTTAGTCACACTAACATAGCTTAGTCAGGTTTGGCAACTACTGTTTATTTAAAACTATAAATAAATTAATTAAAGAAGGGTTTTTAGCTTAAAGATTGCATAATCTAAAATCAAAATAAATACCTATAAGCTGAACAATGAATTAGTCAACCTAACTTATTTAGTACTCAATAAACGTTAAGTTAGCTTTATGTAGCTGAATAGGCTTTCTTACCTTTCTCTCTTGACTTCTCACTGTTGTGTTTGACCACCTTCTTGAACAGTGAATTCTCAGTGGAGAATGATAAAGTTGGGGCTGACTCAACAGGGATTATGGCTTGTGACTTAGGTCGTATAGGTGCTGGGTCAAGGTCCTCAACCACTAGAGATGGGCGCTCAAATGTGGGGGAGCCACCACTCACGGTGGCTCGACGCTGCTTGGCATCTACAATTACAGGCAAGGTGAACTGTGGAGACTCAGATCCGCTCCTAAACACATCGTTATCAGTGTCGTTCCCATCAATGATATCTTCTGGAGATTCTCTGTTGACCAGGGAAAAGTTGACTCAGTTGGTTTTGGTTCAATTAGTGGCCAATCAAAGTGTGTGGCAACTGGTTGATTGTCTCAAGTTGTTAATTAGAATTTTTTAATACAGGTACAGAAAAAGATACTAAGGGTTGTGACAGTTTCGGAGGACCATTATTTAAAACTGAAATGTTACGGACAAAAATATGTAGTCCAGTGAGTGATCTTTAATTAAATCTCTTTGTGGCATTTCATCTAAGAAAATAAATGGCCTTTGAAACAATCAAATCAAGGCTAACTGCTCGACAAATAGATAAGGTTTAAACTAGCTAAGATTAGTACTGGCAAAGCAGAATTAGTCCCAACCAATTGTAATGAAATGTAAAAGGTGAAAAGATACATCTTGTCCAGGGTTAATCCTGAAAATTTTGCAATCAGCATAACAACTACAAAGGAAAAATAACAAGCAACTTACAATAAATAACAACTGTATAAAAAAAAAATCAATTTTAAAAGTGTTCAATGTTTTTACAGACTTTTAACCCCCCCCCCCCCCCCCATGCGATGCAGATTCTTACAATTCACAAAAAGTCAGAACTCCTTCCTCTACCCCCCCCCCCCACTCCTCCCCTCCCCTTCCTGAAATGACATAACAAAGTCCCCCTGCCCCAATAAAATAACCACAACTATTATTACAATAAGTTACTTTTTCCCTATATTTTTATGTCTAAGATATACAAAATATATGCTATCAACTTGAACATTTTCTTATCCTCCCCCACCCCTCACAAATGCACATACAACATTATTACAAATGTCAGATCCTTCTTCCCCATACATGTGTGACATCTTTTCTATTAACAAATGCTTAAAGTAACAAGGCCTGCATCCTATTGGCTGTAAAAACTATCTTACTTTTTATCTGAACAGTTTATCTTTTAAGTGCGCTCATGAAAAAAAAGAATGTTAATTCACTTACCATGAGCAAACAGCCAGGAAATATATTTACTTTAACAATCTTTGTTAACTTTGAATAAAAATTATTTTTGTATACTAAATAAACTTCATAAGTTAAATAAACCTGTAGGCATACACTACACAAACAAGGTAGGTAAACTGTGAAAAGTGACACTTACAAGCAACATACATCAAATATTTAAGCTTCCTGTCTCAAAAACTGTATAGGTTAAATATAAGCTCCAGCAAGCACAACTTCAAATTGAGTTCATTTGAATGAGCTCAGCCATGAGAGTTGTAAGAGACCATTAAAAAACAAGGAAGAAAAATATATTGAACTCTAATTGAGTGGGGTTGTATGTGTGTGTTGGTGTGTGCGGGTGTTGGGCCTCATCATGTTTTACTAAATATCTTTTAGTTACTTTATAATATTTTTTATATAATTTATAGAATACAAGTGCTATGTACTAATATTATAGGTCAACAAACTACTACACTTCTTAATTAGAAAAAAGCTTTTAATTACTTACATGGTCAAGAAAAGAGTGTGTCATATCCCACAAGTAAAGCCAACTGAACATATGCCCTAGATAGATTATACCCAGTGCCAGTTCCTGCCTTCAAAGCTTTTCCATTCTTGAACTGGCAAACTTTGGCTTATTATGTAACATTCCAAAGACTAAATAAGTGGAACAAGCATTCAGGTGGAACAAGGGAGATTATCTAGTTCTGTAATACATTCTAGGTCATTCTCATTGAGACTAGAGTTTTTAGATTTTTTTTTTAACATAATTGGAATAAATAATTTTTTTTAATCTTTGTGTTGTATTAATTGCATTTCTTAACTCATTATTCTTTAAGACAGTGATTGTTTTTCCCCAAACTATTTCTTTGACATTGTTGTAGTAATTTACTAAATTATTTAGTCAGTTGGCTTAACCTACATAAATTAAATTTGCAAAAAGAAAAGTAAAGCAATATGGGAGATCTAAGTTATATGTAATCATTCTTTACTTTGAATTAAGTATTTGAAAAAGGCTAATTAACTACTAAAACAAAGCCAATCTTATCAACATATATAATCTGTATAAAGAGGAATGCATAAAGACCAGGCTTTCAACTGGTGTTCTAAAGAGAATCAAAGGTATGCTGGCTAATAATTTGAAAACTGAATATTAAATGCGGACTATGTTAGGATTGTTACATATAAGTATTTACGTAGATTTAGAGTAGCGTCCCCTTTTCAATACCACCGCTCTCACCTTACCTGTATAGAAAGGGGTATCGATATGTATTATCGCCACAGGCCACGTGTTCGCTACACCACCAAAACCTTCAACCTCCAATAATTGTCCTGTGTATTCATGTGGTTCAACGAAGTTACATCGAACCCCACAAATATTTGCACCCGTATCTCCTAGTGTATCAACTAATCTGTCCCCCACTCTACATTTGATAGTGTTTAATTTAGTGGGGGGTTCACTATCGAATACAAGACCAAGTGATCTTCTGTCCCTCGACATATTAACACCATACCGTCGGTTGCCATTTGAGCTATGATTCTCACCACCACCATTTCTACATTGTCTACTCACGTGTCCCGTTTGGCCACACTTAAAACATCTTATCGGTCTCTGGTTAAAAGACGTGCTACTACAGGGGCAGTCGTTATGCGAGTATTGTTTACAGTGATAGCAGTTACTTCCCCTGGGTAACGAGGAGGATCTATTATACGATCTATTATATGGACCCTCATCCCTGTATCGGCTTCTACCTCTCCCCGATTGTGAGGGTTGAGCCGTAAAAATATGTCACTTCCCTCCCAATCGTTCCTATGCTATAGAATTGTGCGTACTATTTATTTACATTCGTTGATCTCAATATAACTAAAATAGACTATAGATTGAAGGTTAATGAAAACATGTAAATAAAAGGGACACTACTCTAAATCTATGTAAATACTTATATGTAACAATCCTAACAGACTACATAACCAGCTTATAACAAGTTATTCGATACTAATTAATTCAGGAACATTAAATTTTTAAATCAGATATTTACATTTTCTCATCCTGGGATAAACTGTGTTAACAATATTAAGTTAATCTATAGTTAACTACTATGATAACTGATGAAATAATATATTTCATGATAAGTATGGTAGTGTTAAAAGATCTCTCATTCTTTTAGAAATAGAAAAGAATAATAAGCAGGATTCAGAAATGTGATAACCTAAAGAAGGAAAAATGTTTCCATTTCAGAAAAACAAACCAAAATTTCTGACAAAAAATCATTGGTGTTGAAATTGTATTGTTTAGAATTTTTGTATTCAAATGTTGGCTTAGCCATACCGTGGGTTAGGATTAAACATAGGAATGGATTACATTAATCTTTATGAGTAGGGATTATGACTGAGGTTTGGATTAGTCTAGGGTAAGTTTATTTATACAGTAGAGGTATCAAGCAATCCAATAAGTGTGGTACAGGTAACAAATGTAGCTACATTTATATCAACCTCAATTTTTAATTTCTTTTTTAAAATTACTAACAATAATTAATCAAAAGTTGGTTATTGAGATTTGATGATAAATTGTGCTGAGTAGCTTGCATTAATATATTGCCGAGTAAAACATGTGTTAAAGTAACTTGAGTATAGTCAGCAAGTATAATTACACAAGAAAACAAGGCCACAATTCTAGACATACCAAGGCCTAGATTTCTTAGATTTAAATCATCATAAAACAAATTTCACAAAACAATGCCTATAAAGGTATTTTTTGGTGTGTTGAGGGGGTTCAGGATCAAATAACAAAAAGCATATGGTATAAAACTGTATGACTGTAAAGGTGGATTTAATTAACAGAATTAAATAGTTGGTTTTATCTTTTTCTCCTGATAGGAGTTAATCACTTAAAAACTGATATTTCTTATAGTTTACAGCAAAAACATTAAAAAGAAATAATTTTAAAAATAATACAAACATATTTTTTTTTTTAAGTGAAGGAAAATATTACTGATATGGTATTTGGTAAAAATATTATAAAGTTGATGTAGGTCAAATAATTGTTTAAATGCTCCTTTCAACTATGAGATAACACAATCAAGAATAAGATTAACTCACATAGTACTAGACTTTATGTTCACATAGTGATAATGTTTACTTAAAAGTTTCATGATCATTTCATATAATGTACATGAAATAGGTCTCAAGGTCAAAATTTAAACAGTATGGGATTATGCACTTATTATACAATATATAGGAGGTATAAAGTGGTTTATTCTTTTTTACACGATGTTATGCAGGGTTAAGGTGAAGGGGGGGGGGGGTGATAGAACTATGCTATATTACTGTGCTTAAAGAAAGAGATTTGTTTTAATTCTTATACTGCAAAACCTTTGATATTCAGATAAATATGATGAAACAAGTGGCCTTGATCTTCTTTCAAAAGAATGTCAAGCAAACAGGAAGTTCAATATTTAAAATTAACTTTGAAAAATTGCTAATTTTAGTTTTTAATCAAGTTGTTTATTTAATAAAATAAAATGTTCATACCACTATTTTAGTAATATTATCTAATCAAGATCTAAATATGTAGCATAAATAAAAAGGAATGTCAATGGCACTGTTATAGATATTATTTGGGGTAGAGTCAAGTTTTAAAAAATGCCCTTTAATATGTGCATGATCCCTAACTGCCATTTACATTGGTTTTTTTAGTGATTCTGAGTTTCTTAGATGCTGTGATAAGTAAGAAAATAATAATTATTTAAATATTAAAAAATTCATTTTGTAGTTTTATAACTCAAAAACAACTTTACAGCACTATAAATATTTTTTAAATGTCATTTGTGTGCTCAACTTCTAGAAATCTAAAAGCATTCATTATAAAATAACAACTTACTTTGTGATATAAATATCTTCTACAGGTATAGATGAAGAAACATATTCCTCTAAAGTTGGTCTTTGTGCTTTCTCTCCATCTTTTGATCTTCGTTTTTTCATCATCTTAGGCAGTGTGGCTACAGAGGGAACATGCCTGGAAAACAATGTTATTTTTGTTTTTATAACAATACAAGTTTCTCATTAATGACAGCCTAAATTCTGTCACTTGAAGCTTATTTAAGGTGCATTAGGGTATTGACAAATTTTTTTGTATGATTCAAGTGTGGTAGAGAGCAAAAATTGTAAAACACTTAAAATACTGGCTATTCGTTTTTTTAAACCATTGACAATGCCATGTAGGATGTAGATATTCTTTGTAAAACATTTTTTGCACAAAAAAACACCATTGATTTATGGAAAATAAAGATAATATACCTGCATTTAGATTTTTCAATAACACTTTAACTGCTAGTGAAAGACAAAATCCTTTTTCCATATTTTCAAATTAATTTAAACCATTGACAATGCCATGTCGGATGTACATATTCTTTGTAAAACATTTTTTGCACAAAAAACACCATTGATGTATGGAAAATAAAGATAATATACCTGCATTTAGATTTTTCAATAACACTTTAACTGCTAGTGAAAGACAAAATCCTTTTTCCATATTTTCAAATGAATTTAAAAAATCGGATAAATATAATTTAACAATTTTCTATCATACTAACCTGTTTGCAATTTGTTTTCTGTTAGGATAATTGCCATATGGTGTAGTGTGTCTAGGGCGTTTCTTTAAAAGCATGGTAACTTCCTTAGGTTTTTCCTTTAGTGCTGCAACTAATTTAGCAAGTTGCCAACCCAGCTGTAACAGACATTAATTAAAAATATAAGAATATGAATCATGTCTTTTTCTTTTAAGTAACATACAAAAGACAATGAAAAATCAACATCTACTCACAACTGTTTGATTGTTCACTTGAAGAACTTCATCTCCTTTCTCAATCTTACTGCAAAGATGAGCTGGGGACTAAATTGTGAACAGCATTATCAGTGATGTTTCATTAGGACTATACAATTTAATTTAATATTATTTTCATTTTTTTTTGTTAAACGTTTTGTACATTTAAACACAATTTTAAAGTAAATATATGATTTGAACAATACTGTACAGAAACCTACAAATAAATAAAGATATATATACTTACAGTGTCTTTAATAAGACCTATGATATGGCATCCATAATATGAGGACTGAATGTTCATACCCTGGACAAGTTAAAAAAAAAACTAAGATAATTTTGTACAACTTTCATACCAATAAATTATGATCCAATTAATGCATTCACTTTAATCGAAGCACATATAAAAGTGCGTTAAAAATACTTTATAAAAGATAGTAAACCTTTTTGTTATAATTTTAAAAATGGCCTTACAAATAAAGCAAAATAAATAGAATTAACATAACTCACCAATTCATCTCCTTGTTTTTTTCTTATCGTAGCCATTTCCAATGCTGCAGGCTGCACAACTAAAGATTCCTTCATATTGAGAACTAGTTCATCACAATATTCAGTCATACACTGGCACTGCTCACAAATTTTTTTTTAAGGTAAAAGCTTGTACAACAAAATTACATAAATAAACATTTCTAAATGTATTCAATAATGTTTAAAATCAATACATATTTTTTCAAATTATGACAGGGAGAACATAGTGATTACGCTACTTATTTTCAACCTCTGTTATATCAGATTCTTTCTGTGCCACTGTTACAAGCTCCAAGCCCAGTTTAACTAATGAATTTCGCAATAAAGTAATTCCATGGATCGTTTCAAAAGGAGCCCTATAGAACATGAAATCAATATACTGTATAGGGTGAATTAGGTGTATGATGTAAAATATAAACAATAAAGTACGTTCTTTTATATTTATAATTATGTTTTAAAGTACCTGTCTAGCCAAGAGGTCAAATTCTTCAAAGTGCACATGATATCACAAACACCAGAAAGTACAGATATTGATAGTTGACGCCTATGTCTGACAGGTTGGACATTAGCTCGATTGGGATCATTTTCACCATTACGGGCAAGGATCTCCTTATGTAGACTCCTAGCTTTACAACCTAGCTGAAGAGCCAAATGCTGAAGATTTTCTGTTTCAAATGTGTAGCGCTGAAATTATGGTTCAAAATCTTCTGATAATCAATTTAATGAAACATGTTATCTTTTAAAATTAACTAATCAAGGAAATAATTTACAAAAATAAGTTTAAACAACGATGAACAACATAAAATAGTAATTATATTCGATAGAGTATTAACAATCTTACCAAAGATTTTAGAAGATCCACTCCCTCTAATATAAGTTCTTGATGCCCCAGTTTTGTAACACCAAGTTTATCCAAATCAGAATGACTAATCATGAGTAGTTTGCGACCATCTACTCTCTCCAGCACAAAGTTGGGAATGTAGTCGTGTACAGCATCATCCAAGCCTTAAAAAAAACAGAAAAAACTCAACCATATTACTATTCAGTGAGGACTTATTAGCAGGTGTGCACCCTACTAGAAACATCTGCTCGATTAATTTTATTTTTATTATCCTTGCATATTTTTATTACATGCATTCTCTAGCACCAGTGTGCTGAGTTTTATCACTGTATCTTAAAAAGTAGCATTGGTGTGCAAACCTTAAGCTTCTTATAAACTTTAAATAAAGGTTAACAAACATAGAATGTGTATTATTCATAACTTTTGTAAATTCATATTAAAAGACTAGGCTTAAAATAAAAAAAATTTCCATTAGCATAAGCAGGATAGGATTATGGATAGGATTATGCATTATTTATTTGTATATTATCAATCTAGGACAATAAGGAATATGTTCTCCTTATGCTTACTTTATACTTTTTACTATTTACATACTATTATGTCTTCTTACAGTGACACCTAGACTTAGAAGCGCCCTAACATATCAGATTTTTAAGATATGATCCATCAAGCAAGCAATGTTTAGCTTTGAAATACAAGAAACATCTGTGATACATGGAAACAGATCATGTCCCACCATTTTACTGTGCTATGTGTCTTTCTTTTTTACCTTGCCTAAGCCAATATGCTTTATTTCCTTACTGTCAAAGCATCTTTGATAAGCTGTGCTCGTGTTTTTTGCTTTTTATAAATTTACAGTACTTTATCACAGCTCTTTTTATAACCATGGTTCCCAAGAGAGTGAGTGGAACGGTGAATGCTCAGAAAAAGATGAATATCATGAAGTTTATTAACTTAAAGCATGAAATCATAGAAAAAATGAGCAAGTTGTACAAGTGATTGACTTGGTGAGACAGTACAGATGTAGTATTTTAATGTACTGTTCTTAACTACAGGGTACAACATCTGGCATTTTGTGGGCTGTAGCAGATTAATGGCATTCCAATTAATTTCAATAGGGAAAATTACTTTGAGGTACTGGTGAATTGAAATGAAGAACATTCTTACATAGATCTAAAGTCTAAAGTAAAACATTTACATTTAAAATAAAGTAGGCCCTATATTTCAGGCTGTCTCAATTGACGTGGTATTAGCACTTGACAAAATAGTTTGAAAATAGTAAGAAGTAAGAAGTTGTTTAATAATTGTCAAATTTTGGATGTAAAAATTGGAACATCAGATTTAATGGTCTTGAAATACATTAGCGGTGAGCTGCTACATTTAATAGTAATTTACTAGATCTAAATATTAAATAAATAACTTAATAACTTTTACTAGGCCTAAGTTTTTTTCTTTTTTTTAACACTCAGTATTCATTGAGTAAATGCTTGAGCCTTGAGCAAAATAATAATATGGATTATGAGTGTTAATTATATAAATTGATAATTAATAAGACTCAGTACTGTCAGTACTGAGCCTACTCAGTACTCAACTCACAACTCAGGACGAGTACACTGTGTACACAGTACACTGTGACTGACTGAAAGTACAACACAGTACACTTGAGTACACAGTACACAGTTAACGTTAACACTACAATACACTGAGTAGTGAGTACAGTAACACAGACAACTTGACTGACTCTATTCACTATTCTCTAACAAAAAGTATTAAATGAGGGTGCCATGACAGGAAAAATAAATTTGATATAGATTTAGATCTAAATAATATATCTATTACTTCTAAACATAAAGATTTAACCTTTAAGCCATCTCTCTACATCATGTTCATCCCATAGCTCGAACTGAATAAGAGCAAAATACGCCATATTTCACTATCACTAAAACCTTTCTTTACATTCACAGACAAGAACCGATAATTATTTAAATACAATCCACTTTGTAAGAGTTAGTACCCTTGGAAATCTTTATTCGGGTGTAAAGGGAATGGGAGACGATGTACCAAGGGGTAAGGGTTAAGAAAGCGCGACGTCTTAATTTTGCTTTTTAGAAAGCTTTTTTAAAGGTTTTATTTTGGTTCCCAGAAATATGCGCAAATACAATCTAATTACACAAATACACTTTAATCTTGTCATATTTTGAGGAAATGTGCTTAGGGGTCATCCATAAATGACGTCACACTTTTTTGACGATTCTTACCTCCCACCCCCCCCCCCTCCGTCACACATCGTCACAAAAAGCCAGACCCCACCCCCACCCCCCTAAAATGACATCACACCTAAGCCTACAAACCCCCTCAAAATTGCAGTTGAAATTTTCTTAAACATAGATATTTTTCCAAAATCTTGTCTGAACTCTGTCAAAATAGAGTATTTTAATCAATTCCTATTGCAATTTATAAAAAAAAACAGTTATCTAAAACGCGAAATAACGTCTAAAATAGTAAAATTCGTTTTCTAACATTGCTTTTTTATAATGCAAAAGTGTGACGTCGCACCATCTAACCCCTCCGCCTCGTCACACACCGTTAGAAAATTACGGACCCCCCCTCCCCCGTGTGAGTGTGACGTCATTTAAGGACGACCCCCTTAATTAAGTTCCAATGTATATTAAGTCACTCTTCGTTAATGTCTGTAAATTATAAATGCCCCGATTTAAGAAAACAAATGCGCAATCAAAAACGGTTAGAGCTCATTTTAAGCTGCAGTATTGAATTATACACACTCAAAGTTATGAAAATTAATGGCTACACGGGTTTATATTACGATTTGATTGTTTTCTACATTAACTGTGTAACAGTACACCAAATACCCCTTAAGAAACATGCAGTTACCGGTAAAAAAACCGCTTAACGACTTCTTTACTGTCTGTTACCCTCAGTGTTTCTTCCAGACGTTTTTTCTCCTGGGGGCGGGGGGGGGGGGGGGGGGGGGGCACGTGAAATTTTCGGGGGGGGGGGGGCGGTAGACTTTTTTCGGGGGGCGGGGGGGCACGTGAAATTTTCGGGGGGGGGGGGGGCGGTAGACTTTTTTCGGGGGGCGGGGGGGGCAGACACTGTTAAAAGTATATATTTTCTATATAAATTATATAATTTCATTTCGTTTCGGGGGGGGCGGTAGAATTTTTTTTCGGGGGGGGGGGGGGGGGGGGAGGAGATGCCTGGAAGAACCTCTGTACCCTATAGCTCCGAGGTACAGTAAAATACTTCATTTTAGCCAAAAATCATTTGATCCTGATAACTTTTTTGACAATGCATGTGTATGGCACATTGGTTTAGAAAGTTAAAAGCCTTTCTGTTGATTCTAATCTGAACGTCTTTTATTACTTATTGAACCAGTACAATTTGTTCTGCGTTTGTTGTTGATTATGAGCGAGAACGCAGAGCTTATCCGCGAAATCCAATTAGCTTTAAGTTGTGTCGGTTGGATTTTTTGTTTTCTGTAAAATATGGGGCAGGCGAAGTATAGAGTTTATTTTATTAGTGACCCGGCATTTGAGGTCAGCACTATATCCCCAGCCAGTGTTTCTTCCAGACTTTTTTCTCCGGGGGGGGGGGGGCATTTGAAATTTTCGGGGGGGGGGGCGGTAGACTTTCTTCGGGGGGCGGACACTGTTAAAAGTATATATTATCTATATAAATTATATAAATTTCATTTCGTTCGGGGGGGGGGGGCATAAGTGGGCACCCAGGCTTTTATTTTTAGTCATACTACTAGCATATAGCTTTGGTAATGTTACACAAAACTAAATTATTATTTTTTACTTTTTAGTGCTTTTTTGTGATTTTGAAATCTATTTTTTGTGAGATTTTCCACTTTTTAGTCATTCTTTCAAAATAAAGTTGATACGGACTGTGATTAAAAATATTTGCGTTAAAATCCTTCCAGCAAATGAGTTGCCTGTCTTTAATTCATTCGTGGTTTACGAAATCGCCCCAACCGTGAACTGACGGCCCTCTGTTCAAACGAAAATTAGTATTTCTTCTAAATCTTGTTATCTCTCCATTTATTATTGAATACAGTAATTTTTAAATTAAATTTTAATGACTAATTGTCTAAGTATTTGGAAGTGGAATTTGGGAAGTGGGTTAAACTAATCAAAGATTTGCGGAGCCACGCGCACTAACACCCCCCCCCCCCCCCACACACACACACACACTGAGCAAGCTAAAAAAAAAAGCCTCGAAAAAGTACATTCTAGGTCTGCTGTGTGATAATCTATAATGTTGCAATATAATCTGTGCAGCAGTAAACGTGAAGTAACCTTCCGAAAATGTCGGTCGAGGGGACAGGTGAAGTGAATTCACCTGTTTCTCTGTTCTCAGCGTATGAAAGGATAGTGTGGTCAGCACTATGCTTAACCACCTTTACTTTCCCTAACGTGAGTCAGGTACCCATCTGAGCTGGGACGGCTGGGTGGACCCGGGGCTTACCCCCTCCCCCGAAGAAAGTCTGGAATTTATAATTGGTGTCCGCCCCCCCCCCCCCCAAATATTATGTGCCCCCCCCCCCCCCCGGAGAACAAAGTCTAAAAGAAACACTGTACACGAACCCGGGTTTCACAAACTCAAATAGTCTGCAGGGTACGAAAATCTGGAATGTAATTTTATTTTTGTCGCTATTTATCGTAAAGAACAGTCAACGCGCGGTGATCGGTCTACTTTATTTTGGTATTCCCCTTTTGTTGGCGAAGTATGTTTTCTGACGCCCACGTCATCTCCAATCGCTTGGACATTATCATTAATGGTTACCTTAAACTACGTTTACACTTGCAACGTGTACCTAAACTATACTGGCCTATAGTATATTATACATGTTGTAAGTGTTAAACGCCGACTCTTTGTTGTTGTTTTTTTCTTACATAAACATACTCATACACACAGTAATACACACACTCACACAGACTCATACATACACACTAATTCAATTTCATACACACACTCATACATACATACTCATTCAAACACATACACATACTCATGCATACACACACTCATACACATCATGTTCATACACATTCGTCATTCAGTCACTCACACTATTTCACACACACTCATTTATTAAGAAAGTGAAAGGCTTTCACCAACTTTGCAAACTTTTTTCTTAAAAGAGCGACAATGTAAGCAAAGCTAACCAATGAGAAAAAAGAAACATTATAGCGTAACCAATGAAATCAATAGAAGATAAATGTCCCCGAATTCAAACAGTTTCCTGTTATGTTTTGTTTTCTTGTTGTTGTTAGAATAATTGAGAATTTCACAATGAATTGGATTTTATTAGAATTATTCTAATTTCAAATTTAATCTAGAGCAGTAATAATTAATAATCTATATCTTAGAATAAGAATTCCGTGATTTCTCCGACGCCACGCTCATCATATGATGCGTGTAGTCGTAATGTCGTAATGTTAATGACCGAGAGTCAGTAGTCAGTCACAAGTCAGTGTAAGTAATTGAGTCTAATGGCCAAATGGCAGTTGAGTTGATGAGTGTACACTAGATCTTGATTTCTAGTAAGTATTAGATCTAATTAATATAAGTATAAACGTATAAATTTTATAAAAGTAATAGATCTAGAATCTAGTAAGTTAAGTTAGGGTAAAGCAGGACACTAACACTAAAAAAAGAGCCAGTGTGGTATTAGATCTAGTTCTAGAATAGATCTAGATCTAGACAATTCAGACATGACTGATATAGGACCCAATCACTCAGCACCCTACCCCCACAAAACCCCCAATAAAACTACTAATTAATTAATTACATTACAATTAGTACTAATCTACTTCTGAGGTAACAACGACTGCTGTTCTATGATAACAGAGAAGCATAGACTATCATCATACTCATAGGATAAGGATTTCTTTTATTTTTTGTAGGCCTAGGCCTAATTTATTAATTATTATCCTCTTGGTCCAACAAGGACTCAAGGAGAAAATGAGACAGGAATTTGAGGAATTATTATTAATTAATCCCACTGCTCTTTCCCTAAAATTTCTCATCTCCATAAAACCATTTTGAGAGTAATTGTTGATGCCAAAACAAAATGGCCAACATTTATCCGGTTTTACCAAGTCTTTATCATTATCAGACTAAAACTTGACTGATCAATATCATAATGGTTTTATTTGTTAGATAATAACTAAATCTACACGAATACATTAATTTTGTCCTGGATGCTTCTATTGGGACCTGGGTCCATATAGCCTCAGTCGCTATTGGGACCCGGTATAAATATAGTTATTTGGCCTATTAGTTACGCATAACCTGTATTCAAATGTATGGTCGGCTGAAGATACAGATGTTTTAAAGTCAACTGCAATGATGAGGGGGGGGGGGGGGGTTGTAGGCTGAGTTGTGATGTCATTTCAGGGGGGTCTGGCTTTTGCGACAATGTGTGACAGAGGGGAGGAGGTGGTAAAAATCGTCCAAAAAAGCGTGACCCCTTAGTGATAGCATTGATTGTTTATTTTAGTTAACTAGCAGTAACCTAACAGTTGGCCTTTTGTCTTGTAGGCCTTTTAGCAGTTGGCCTTTTGTCCAGATCCTGTCCAGCAGGGTGGAGAACAAAAGGGAAATGCTCTCCCCTCAACATTTCTCATCTCTGTGATACCCAGCCCCCACCTGTATTTAACCCACTATAAAGCTTCATCTCTTTGTAGATAACATGAATTTAGTTCTTAGATCTCAGCCAACCAGAGATAGCATCTCTATGTTATTTATGGCCCTCAGGGTCCAGCAAGGAGAACAAAAGGGAAATCAGTATTAATGCTCTCCCCTCAACATTTCTCACCTCCATGTCGTGTTATGTAACGTATAGCACACATGGCTTATCAGGGGAAGCATTAAGGCAGTTAGTACCATCCCTTTTTTCCATCCAATAATCTTAACTCTGAACAGCTACACACTGTAAACTACTAGACTGTAGGCCCTATGTAGACTTGCAATTGCATCAATTGTGGACTGGGTCCAATGGGGCCTAGTGATAGCTGGTATCATTTAAAGTGTGTGTACACAGCATTAACTATTTTGTGGTTAGAAATTAATTATTTTTATTGTGGATTTAGTTTAGTCTAAACTAGGAGATAATACTTGATGCCCCATAGATCTAGATCTCTAGAATAGATCTAGAGATCTATACTTATATAGTCAATAGTAGTATTTTATAGTATAGTCTTTAGTCTTTATCAATCTTACGACAGAACTATAAAAAAAATAACATTTCCATACCAACTGGGCCACTAGAGTCAATTTTTAGAGACAGTTAAGTGGTAATACTATAAGTAATAAGTAGGTCTATAAGATTAAGTAGGTCTATTTAATGTAGTCTATAGGAAGCGTAGGCCTAATACATATTATAAATTCAGAATTAAGGCCTATGAAATTACATGAATATAAATATTTATAGCCTAACTGGTTGAAGAAAAGACCTAAAGTTTTCAAAAGTTTATATTGCATATACTTCTAGTGTTGTTGTTTTTTTCAATGTGTGTTTTACTTTAGTTCTTTTATTTTAACTAAGCAGAATGTTTATAATTTATAGACTTATTTTCCATTACAGTTAAAAAATTTAAAATAACTTGCCACAGAAAAACAAGATGGTTGAAGGTAATTAAAATGTTTTTTTAAACAAGTGGATTATAAGAGCAATAGATGCCATTTATACTGTTTTGACATACCAAATTTTATTCAAAACAGCTGTGTATTTGTTTTAATAGCAATTAATTATTATAAATGCACAACTGGTTATAAATGTTGGAACTATACTTCTCTTATTTAAATAATTAGGTTATAATCTATCAATTCTTTTGTACAAATAAATTATTTCTTTATTTTTGTGGATAGTATCTAGTGACTTTCGTAGCCAAATTTCTAACATAATTGCTGATGGAAACAAGCCAGAAGCATGGAAGGAATATATAGACATAGTTAAGAACAAAGTGGAGACTTTAAATGAATTCAAGGAGAGAAAAAATAACATCCTTAACTACATGTATAAGACAGCATTCAAGGTAACTATATTTTTTCATACATACATTTTTATTAAAAATCTTCAGCATTTAAAAATTAATTTGTGACGTTTATAGTGACATTATCACTTCGTACTAATATTTCTGCTTATTCATTTTTTTTTATCGCATTACTGTCATCTTTTTTAATTGATTAAGAATAATTTACTTGTTTTACATAGCCTTAAAATGAATACAATTGTTCTACTACAATTACAGATGCTGCCAGAAACTGATCAGTCATTATCATATGCTGAGTTATACATTGATTATGTGATGTTTAAAAGGTAATTATATAAAAAAATATCTTTAAAGTTGTAATATCTTTTTACAAAAACATTTATCTATCTTTTATCTATATTTTTCATCTTTATGACTTCTCAAGATATATATCTATTTTTAATAGTGTAGATTTAATTTTTAGTATTCTTTATGAATTTGTTTAATTTAAAAATATTAAACAGTAGGTTTTTTTGTTTAGATGTTTAATATATGATCTTTTCTAAGCAGTTTAGAAAGTCTAGAAGATGCTGAAAAAATGATGTCCTTTGCACGTAGAAGGATGCGTCGTTTTTCTGTCATTCACGTGGCTAGCGCCCAGCTTGAACTTAAAAAAGGTGGGCCTACTAATGTGATATTCATTTCCATTTTCTAAAGAATAAATTGGATTTCAAACTGTATTATAATCATAAAAATAATTCCACAACATTATTTGCTCCTTTTATTACTTTTTGAAATAAAACAATGTCTATTAATAAACTCTTACATTAATATTCAACCTAAAATCTTAATAATTTACAGGTAACAAAGATAGAGCAATTCAAATTCTTCAAAGGGCGCCTTCTGTAGGTGCCAGGCCCCTTGCTTATTTAACTGTTGCTCTAAGGAGGATTTATGAAGGAAAAACAATATTGCTGGACTCTGAACTTGAGTCAACAGAATCAGGTAAAAAGCTACTTGTAAAATAGTTATAACCATTTATCTTCATATATGACCTCATTTTGACAAGTTAAACTAAAATTTCAGCTGATGTTGTTAGCCCAGAAAATGGTAAAGAATTTTCTGAGGATTGGACAACTTCACAGTACACTGGAACATTTGAGTATGTTTCTTTTTCTTTTTTTCACTTTTCTTTTTTTTTGAAGACCCCAGTTTCAACTTGTGCTCTTTTTAAAAAAAAAATTACTTTTTTAATATAGGACAAATAAAGAAGTCAGCCAATCAGACACATTGGAAGTACAAAATGCTCTTGACTTGATAACAAGACAAAACATTCAACAAATTTCCTCATCATCAGCCAAAGCTCAACTTAGTCAGCTAGAGGTGAAACGTGAACTAAGCCTAGGCTCTAACTCTTTTGCACATATTTACCAAACACCCCAGCAACAACACCATAATAAAGAAAAAGGTGATTACAGTACAACAAAGAGAACCTTAAGCCATTACTACAGTACCCCAGAATTAAGACACAATGTTGGCAGTGTGATAAAAAGATCTGTCAGGTAAGTTCTTCTTATATTCTATCCATTCTTTTATCATTTCTGTGGTTAAGCATTCAAATATATTTTGTAATACTTCAATTAGTTTTTGTTTACAAAAATAAACTAGATCTATATCATATAAATGAAATCATTGATTCAACTTATCTTTAATGTTATCTGTCATTAGCTGGTAATAAAATAGTAACATGTAACAGTTCTACATTTATTGATTTTTACCGAGGTTATACTTACCTCTACATTATATTTCAACCAACAATTCATTAGCATCCATATTGCACTTATTACTTCTACCCTTTTATGGTTATTTCGGGAATGAATTACATAATTTGAATCAAAAGCTATATTTTAAGGCTTTAGTAACTTTTATACTTAATTAATTTTAATTTCTTACTAGAAAATTTCCTTTAGCTGATTTGGGTCCTCCCAGACGTGTGAAGATAAACCCCAATGCCAAAAATCAAGAATCTGCTGATGATGACACTGGTGATAGTTTAGCCTCAGCTAACCCGATATTTCACTCTCTCACCAGACCACCTGCCTTAATATCTAGCTCTGGTACGTTTAATTTTAGAGTGAATCACTATTAATCTTTTTGATAAGCAACAATAACAATACTTTAATAAATTGTTAATTTTTATCCATAACAGGTAATTCTGTGAGTACCAAAGATAAGCTGTTTGAGCCTGTGGGATCTCAGGTTTTGAACAATAAATTAACACATCCAATTACTAAAAATGAGTCTAACTCACATATGAGTGTACCTAACTCATCTCTCACATTTGGCTGTAATGCTGATTTGGGCAGCTGCCCAAAGCTGTCAAATGAAACATCAAACACTGGTACCAATTCATATTTTGAAAGAAATCAAACTAAAGAAAAAGTAGCAGAGGAAAATATTATAGCAAGGTCAGAATTACCGGATGCAATAACTCATAAACAATATGAGCATGCAGTAGCTAGAAAGCTAGCTCTTCACAATGATTCTTCAAATGTACAAAAGGCATTCACCTATAAACTACCAGATAGCAATTTAGCTCAAAATTATGTTCCACCTGTAGTAGAAGATGAAACTTGGAAAAAACAACAAAATCAATTGAAACATCAGTTTGGAGGTGCAAACAATTTACAAAGGTTTGGATGTTCAGTTGTTTTTAAATATTATGTGTAAAAAATTGTTACTAAGAGTTGTACCCCTTTTACTTTGGTCTGCCTAATGTTGATGAACCCCTTTTATGACATATTTTCTGCATATTACAAATCTGCTTTTAGACAAACAACCAATCAACAGCACACAACAATTTTACATCTGTGCATGCTTTGCCTAAGATCCCTAATTTAATTTGTTCTTTTATTTTTCATTACTTCAATATAGCTCAGTTCCTCATCAGACACCCTCTGCATCTGTCTTGACACAGGACCAAAGTAATGGAATTGTAAGTTTGTTTTTGTACAGTTCTCAGCTGTAGCTTTACTTGAACAATATTATCTTCATTATCTTAAAATCTCTTTCCAGTTGCAGCATTCTTTGTATTGCTTCCTTATTAATGTATAATGCTTATAACATTTAATATTTTAGACATTTTAATTCATTTTTACATTACCTACTCTTTTATAATAAATTATTTCAGTTATAAAAAATTATGAATTAAATGTTGTTTTTTTTTTATTTTCTAGAGTAATGAAAAGACAATATATGTTAATAATGTTCCCTACAAAGTATTGCGTCTTGTTGGTCGAGGGGGTTCCGCAAAAGTCTATCAAGTCTTTGATCCAACATCTAATGTTATTAGAGCACTAAAGGTTGTGAACTTGATGTGCTCTAATGACATCGTTAGAGAAGGTTATAAAAATGAAATCAGTCTTCTTAAAAAGTTACAGCACTGTGATCGTGTCATCAAACTCTTTGACTCGTGAGTTTTGTAATACAATTGTTAAAAAGAATTTTTAAAATTGTTAACTGTACTTTAAAATTAAATAAAAACAGTTTAAAATTTATTTCTTTTATTTACTAAGAATTGTCTTAAGAAAATGCCTCAAATGTTTTCTGTTTTAATTTTTTTTAGGGACTATACTTTAACAAGATGGGATTTTTTTTAACTAAAAAGTCAAATTTAGATAAATTTACTTTATCTTGAGTCTCTAAGTTTGCTACAGATTATTTTAAACTTTCAGTGAGTATGTAGAGGCAAGTGAGAAACTTCTTGCAGTTTTAGAATTTGGAGAAACAGATTTAGAAAAATTCATCTCTAATAATGTAAAAAGCCAGAAAGAACTATCACCTATTACAGTCTGTTACTATTGGTCACAAATGGTTACTGCTGTACATGCAATGCATCAAGAAGGTAAGCCAAAAAAATGCTCTTTTTTAATATTCTAAAATAGGATTTACTAGTACAATCTGTTTATTTTAAAGCTACTGTTATAATTGTAATCCTTTTAAAAATATGTAATATAATTAATTCTTTAAAATGTAGGTTTATAATTAATAGACCTCATGTATAATTTTTTTTAAAATAATTAAATATTTTTGAGGATATTATATTTTCATAAAGAACCAAAATATTTGCACACTGACCCTTTTCTTAGTAACCCATATTTATATGTCATGTCTTCATAGGTGTAATCCATTCTGATCTTAAACCGGCAAATTTTATCTTGGTGTCTGGGAATGTCAAATTGATTGATTTTGGTATTGCAAATTCACTACAACAAGAGTGCACTAGTGTTTTAAAAGAAAATAGAATTGGCACGCCTAGTTACATGAGCCCTGAAGCCCTCATTGCAAATAATTCAACTCCCCAGCCAAGATTCAAGGTATTTTTTAAATAATTTTTTTTTAGTCACCTATCGGAAGCCCATAAATTAATAATAAAATAAAATCTATTGTACTGTGTAGGAAAGTTAGTTGTGCATTTTTTAGGCCATCGAGGAAAAGAAATACTGTTTCATTTAGCGTAGAACTATTATGTCAAGATCATTCATAAACAAGTTAATGTTACTTTAATTAGGTACACTTGATGCTATTATTATCACCTTATTTTTATTTTTCAGAATTTAGTGTGTAGAAATTATTATTTTAGTATTATATAAATTGTGAAGGAAATTGCCTGTAGTTTTTAAGATATAATTATTAGAATTTTAGGATAGCTGAAAATATTTTAATCTATGATTATTTGGAGTACTTTTAGCGCAGTACTGGAAGCATTAGAAATTTAATTGGAACATGAACATCATCTACTGTTTGAAAATAAAGTTGCTGTTAATATAGTCTAATAGTTTTTTTACAATCACCATCTTCATTCTGCTATAATAAACAAGAAAACATTACAATTCCTTTTAACAGGGATGGTTAACATGTTTTACATTAATGTATTTTTAACATAAATAATAGATTAAATTTCATCTAACTTACAAAGATATTAACTTTTATTTTTTATTCAGGTTGGGAAGCGCAGTGATGTTTGGTCTTTAGGTTGTATATTATATTTGATGGTTTATGGTCACACACCTTTCCAGCATGTTAGAAATAAAATGGAGGCCATCATAAATCCAGCACACATTATTCCCTTCCCTGACAAGGGGGATCCAGCATTAATGGACATTTTAAAAGTAAAATAATCAGTTTCAGTATAGTTCATCATCCTTTAAATTATAAATCTTTAATTATTCTAATTTTTCAAACTGAAGTATTATGAAATGAACCTCAAAGTTTGTCAATTGTGCTTTTACAGAAGTGTTTAAATCGTGAGGTGTCCCAAAGGCCAACTACTGATGAAATATTAATGCATCCTTATCTCCAAAAAAAGACTATAGGTATATTTTGCTTAATTAAAATTTAAGTAAGGTGATTTTTATCACCTTAATTCATATCATTTTAATTTTTGTGTAGTAGTATAGTTATTTTTAAATAACTAAAATATCTACTTTGATCTTTAAGGAGAAAAGCCTGCCCCTAATTTGCAATCCAAGTTAAGTCAATTAAAAGCTGATATTTCGGTTGCTTCTCCAAGAACAAAACAAGCATTAATCAAGGTAATATAAGTTGTTTTTTTTTTTTTCAAGAAATTAAATAACAGATAATTAATTTTAAACTCTTTATTTAGTCTAAATTGTATTGTAAGTATAAAAATTGCTGTGTAAAAACATTTTATTCCTTAATAACTTAATACACCTAGTCATCCTAATTATGAGATAACTTTTATCATGGTTAAGTTGTTTTGAACTTGTTATATTTTACTTTTAAAAAATTTAAGTGTAGTGCAAATCTATACTTATTGTCTAACGAAAATGATTTCTTGTTTGGCTTTTAAGTGTAGCTTTTTAAAAATACCTTAACTTGACACATAAGATTTCATGTAGCTACATGTTGCTATTTTTTTCATAGAGCCTGAAGGATTTTGCAACCGGTCTTGAGTAGCACAAAGATCAAGTGATGAAACAAATGTGTAATTGCTGTGAAAAAATTGTTGGAATATATGTGACTTAAAAAGGTGTAACAATATCTAATTTCAATTATTTTGTTTATAATTTGTTTTAAATGTACATTGTCATGCATTTATCTCTCTCAGACATAGTCTGAATGTATTCTGTGTGTGCTGTACTGGGGGTTAAACTACTTTTGTTTTTCAAAAAACCTCAGTTTAGTTTGCAATGGTTTATTTTTCTTTTTCTGTAATATTCTGATTTCTCTCTATATATATGCACCATAACGGTTGCCTTGTGAATATGTGTGACACTTTTCTTCTCTCTAAATGACAATAAATATGGATGTTAAAATTTACTAGCTCACCAACTGCACAATTAGTGGCCTTACTAACCCAATAGTATGAATCAGAGTAACAAATTACTGAATTACATTAGTAATAATTGGTGATGGTCAATATTTTGAAGCAAGGGAATAGTTAAAAGACAGAGATAGCCTAAAATGTATATATGCTTTATAATACAACACAGTTTGTTGTAAAATAAGATTTTCTTTTTCTGTACCCTTTACAATTTTATTCTAAATTTAAAATATCTATTTTAAATTATTCTACTATGTAGATTATACTATTTATATTATGAAAGCATCTTGAAAAATGCACTAGAATCTATTTTAAAAAAATATAGTTCAACCAAAAGCCAGGTGACTATTTGATTTTCAAAGTCCACTCACATTGTAAAACATTTTCAACAATTAGGTAATTAAGATTTTTTTTTATGCTAACTATGTCAGCTGCTGCTAAGCATGATTTTAAATCCATTACCCTTATGCATTTTCTTCTCAAAATTCAATAGGGAAAATGAAACAAATAAAAATTCAAATTTTAATGCAAGTTTTAAGTGTTATTATTTAAAATTTACTATTGTGTTTTAGACTAAAGCAAACATCGAAATATATAAAACCCCACTGTTTGTATGATCACATGTCAAAGCAAATCACAACTCCTGAACATAATTAGTGTTCTTGTTTTTTAATTGCAATATTGTTAAGTATTTCCACAAACAGTTAACTTGGATACTATATCACAACATATTATGCATGTGGCCCATTAATTACAAGCCGAACCGCGGCAATTCATACGCCGATATTTAGTTGTTTTATTTTCTACTTTTCAGTCATTCATAATGTGTGAATTCGACAGTATCAATGCTGCCACTGAAAATATTTGCTTTAAAACACATTGAGTAGGCCGTTAAGGACGATACCCCCCAACCCTCCTTTCCCCCTACCCTACACCCCCCCCCCCCCCCCCCCCACTGAAAGCAGCCTCCTCTTAGTTACCTCCCCTAAGCTTCAAATAGTTTCAAACTAAATTATCTGCCCCTAATAGCCGTCACTAAATCAGCTGTACGATTGTAAACATTTAGCGAGAACCACAGCTCACCAGACCATGTGGGGGTGGGGAGGTTGCGATATGCCAAGAGAGGGGACTGCTAGGCGCAATTACAGCTTGTTTTCTAACGTCTCCAAGAAGATAAATATAGATTTCATTTCGTTTTTCTTTCTAGATTTGCTTCCTTTAAGAACCAACTTCTAATTAGTAATTTAAATATGGAGCTTTCTCAGTATAAATGGTTTGCTGTCCTCAGATAACGAGCCTCACCTGCCATGTGTGCTAGGGTGGGATATTGGTTGAGGTTCCTGGTGATGTGCAGGGGGTTTTAAATACTTTTCTGATGTCTTCATTCAAGAAAATACAATTTTTGCATGTAGTAAAAATGTATTTTAAATCAACTTACATTTACCTTGAATTGAAACAACTGTTTTTCTAAGAGTTGCAGTCTGTCAACTTTAAATTAAAGTATAATTAACCAAAAAGAACACATTTTTGTTTAAATAATTCCACAAACTTTTATTATGCTATTTACATCAGAAGTTTGAACACAGAAATTTTGAACACGTTTACAGTTTACTATCAAGTTACAAAATATTGAAAAAGGTTAACTTTTAAAAAGGCAAAAGTATTCTTGAAACATCTCAGAGCAACAACTGCTTAGCTCAATAACAAACTCCAGCATGGAGTTACAATTTATCCACATAAGTAATTTAAACTGTACATGAAAATTTTTGGATTAGTTTGATGATGCTGGTTCATTTTGAACAAGTGCTCTTGACTGTAACTTAAAGAATTTCCATTTAACCTTTCAACCATTTACACTAACACAATTGAAAATGTATCATCCCAACCATTTACACTTGCACAATTGAAAATGTATCATCATTAGAAAATAACAGAAAATATTATAGTTCACAACAAAAACACAATGGTCTGTGTGTACATGTGCTTCCAAACACCAGTGTCTAAAAAAATGATCTACAAAGACAACACAAAAAAGACAACATTATGCATCTCCAGCTTGATTTAGTTGAAGATCACCATCATCAACATCTGAGTCTTCACAAAAAGACATGCGGGGTGAAGGACGGAAACCCCGACTAGCATATGAGGGAAGTTTATTACAGGCAGCCAACAGAAGTCCCAGGTATGGAGGAGATGGATTCATTGGTCTAGAAATGTACTCAGGGTGGTATTGAACACCAACGTAGTAGGGATGATCTGAAAAATTTAAGACTGACGTTAACTAAATAGGACTTGGAAGGTATATCATTTATCTAGCACACTTCTAGATACAGTGTAATGTTTTTAAAGGTATGATTACATTAACTAAAGATGACAATATTTTTTACCTTCCAGTTCCATGATCTCCATTCTTTGATTGTCCTCAGAATGTCCTACAAATTTTAACCCTGCCTTCTCCAGCTCTTCAACTACTTTTGGATTTACCTAGAATTAAAAAACAAATTATTACGTTTTTATTTGATTTTAGAGAGGATCTACTCAACTGGAAGACTACATTAGCCTACTGGTAAAAACAATAACAAGTGCCTACTTACAGATGTGCATGAAGTGTAGTAAAAATGTAATCAGCATTAACTACTCTAATAGATATTTATAAAACATGTTAAGTTTTTCCTTGATCAATTAATTATGCACAGCATAATGACTAAATTACCAAACAGGGTTTCCATATACTACACAAGTAGCTAAGACTACTAAGAGGGTTGTATTACAATTTGATTTATAATTTTCTTGTTCTGCATTTTTAATTTTAGTGTTCGAAGAGATTAAGTAGGCCTATACATATTAACTTGTTATGTGCCTTTAAATTTTAAATAAAAGAATCTGGTATGCCTGTGACATAGATGCTGATTAACCCGTTACAGGTCTATGCGTGGTACAGTCCAGTGCGCCAGGTTGCCCAACTATGTACATTTATTAGTAGCGAAAGTCTCGGCAACGAGGATACCAGGGGAAGCAGGAAATAGTTTTATTTATGTTGTATTCTTGTTCTATCACCAGTGTTTCATTTTCTTCGATTTTATGAAGTTAGGATTCTTTTTCTTGCATTTACAATTAAATTAATTCCAATAAAATGCCGTTAAATCAGGCTTTATTTATAATTTTAAAATCAGGCTTTATTTATAATTTAACTACTGTGAATTTTTTTTTAGCATTTAAAATAATTTTAAGAGAAATAGTAGTGTTTTGTTTAGTTTTCTAGGATTAGTGTTATTTTTATTTATTATAAGTAATCTATAATGCTACTTAACCTCGTACTTAATAAACTTAGACCAATTTTGTGTAGAATGCATTTAGTTTTTTAACATAAGTGGTTATTTGAGAAACAAAAAGAAGCTTGTTGAAAAATGCGTTGTCTTTTCACCTGGTCATAGAGGAAGTAAAATACTTTTGATGCCCCAGCCATAAAGGGTTAATTAGTTAAGAACTTTGATAATATAACAAAACCAACATTTTAAATAAGATTTGACAAATATTTTTTTATTTGCACTACTTAACTATTCTTACCTCATATCTGTGCCTGTGCCTTTCTTCCACATATTGAGGATTGTGATAAAGCTTTCCTGCAGATGAAAAAAAATAAAAATTTAAGTAAAAGACTACTTCATTAATTTAGATAACTAAATTGCAATATATCCATTAAGTTTTATTATAATATCAAATGTTACACTCACTGATCAAACTTTTTTCTGTCTTAAAGATGGTTCTCCGCTTTCCAAGTCTCATAGTACCCCCTTTATCACCTGGATTGTGCTCAGGCATTTCAATTACCTGCAGGAGATTAAGAGGCAAACTTGACTTAACACAAAAACTCTTAGTGGGTTGTTTTTACTTTTTTAAAAACACATTATCAAAAGGCTGATTCAGAAACTAGTAGAACATAATGGTTTACCACTGGATGCTTAGTGTCCATGTTAAGTTCTGTAGAGTTGGCATCTTCCCAACCCAACACATTTCGAGCAAACTCTATAACAGCACACTGTAATCCCAGACACACCCCTAAAGATGAAATGTTTAATAAATACAACAGTAAATTCAAGTTTATAAACAAAATAAGATAAGCTAAAAATAAAATAAGTTAAAGACTTAATTATAGCACACACAAAAAAAGAAAAACTGACCAAGAAATGGAATATTCTTTGTTCTGGCCCATTTACATGCTAAGATTTTTCCTTCAGTGCCCCTGGTACCAAATCCACCAGGAACTATAACACCACTAAAAATAAGACATCAAATTATAAGAAAAATTGGTAACAGTGAGCAACATTAGCTCAATTTTATACTAATCAAAATTCCAGACAAAATGGTTGTAAAATATCGTGTTTTATAATTGTTGCAATAAGAAATTACATACTTTGCACCAACAAGCTCTCTCCAAGCCTCATGGTATTTTTGTGGATTTTCATTCTCCATTGCAGGCTCCAAATCTGCAGCTTCAATACACTGTAAAAAAGAAATAAAATATCAGTCTTGGCAAGAAGTTGTGACGTGCTTATGGTATATGATTTTAGCTCCCCCCCCCCCCCCCCCCACCTTGCCATAGAACCATACTTATATATTACTCAGCTGACAAGAAAGCATATATATATATATATATATGCATAACCATACAGACCCAACCACCCCAAGCTGGTCGAGCACTATCTGTATAACTAAACAAGCTATGCTTGGATAGCTGACCAAACATAAACAGTTAATTGATGCCTACTTAGGGTATGTCAAATAGAAAAACAAGTTTACAAATGTTTATTATTAACTCATTTGCAAGTAATGGGCCACCATTATCCATTGTGACTAAAAAAAACAGAAGTTTCTAGTTTTAAATTGTTTTTGAACCAAAGAAAGATGATCACCCACACCTTTTGTACCACAGCATTTTGTAATAGGTATAATCAAAACTAGCTACAGTTAGGTATATTAATACTGAAAAAGCCCCTATGTTTGAGATATTCAAACATTACCCCTACAACACCGCCCTAGCCTGAATTGTTCATTAAAAATATGACACAGCTAATTAAACTTACTTTAAGATCCAATCTATGGTTGACAGCTAAAGAGGCATGCTGAAGAGCCTTGATAACTGAAGTGTAGGAATCTGACAATGCTGTGTATTTACCAACAAGAACAATGCAGACTTCCTTCAAAAGCCTATCATGTCTGTAAAATTAAAATTAAGTCTCACTATCTGTGAATAATGGCATGTTCCAGTCAGCAAAAAATCCAAGTAGTTTATTTCAAAACTGAATTTTTTTGTTTAAATTACAATATATTATTTAAAATAAAAAATCAGACAAAATTGTCAACAACAATACAGTATTAGCTAATGTAAATTCATAAGTTACAAACTTAAATGACAAAAAATGAATTCAGAATTATACTGTTTAACTAATTTGCTACTAATGCGACCGAATGCAACAGGACTTGACCACCATTTCTTCCTTGTAACTATCATGCTTGTCGCATTATTTTCATGCGAAAAGCGCTTCCACGCTATTTACACTTACTAAATTTAGTACAAGAATTAGAATGCGCAAGATTTTATTCCCAACAAAAAAAAAAAAAAAAGTAAAATCAATATTTTTTAAAATATTAGAGATAATACTGAGACACCCTGTGGCAGACCACATAGTTGCATCACCTAATTCACTCTTAACGATAAATACTATTAGAAGAATATTAAGTTATATATTTTCTTTGAGATAATACATTTCTCTATTTAATAGGAATATTTTTTGCCATTTTTTTTTTTAATAAATAAATGATATTTATTTTTAAAACAATTTTTTTTAAAAGTTGTTGGAAATTAAGTTCCTTAGCTTAGATTCTGGGAAAGGGTTTTGAGATAGCTTTTGTAGCAAATGAGTTAAGAAAAAACACCTGTCTGCTAGCTCTTTCCATCGTGCCATGATATGTACTGGCTTGGTGTTAAGCTGAGGAATCTCTATCTGAAGTCTTTGTATTAAAAAGGAATCAGCATTCTGAGACTGAAGCAGCAGTGGTACTCTGTATACTGATGTCACATCATGTACACAGTAGACCTAAACAAATTCAAACAAAGTTGGTAAAAACATCTGTAGTTCAGTTGATTCTTAGTTTTTTTTTTAATAAAATAAACTAATCTACTGAAGATATATTCTAAAAAAGAACAAGCATTAAAGAGGTTACTTCACCTGCTCAGGATCTACATGACAAAACAAAGAAATCTTTTCTTTAGTTGAATCAGTTAAAGGTGTGACACTTCGACATACAATCTGAAAAATAATATATCAAACTGGTATAAACAATTTAATATAGTTAAATAAAAATAAGTAGACTTTAAAATATTAACAATCAGTATATAAAAAATGTAACATACGATGTCAGGAGAGATTCCCAATCCTCTTAACTCCCTAACACTAGATTGTGTTGGTTTGGTCTTTTGCTCGCCAGTAGTTTTTGGCTATAGAAATAAAAAAAAATTGTTTTAGTTAGATTGTTATGTTCTAAACTTTTTGACAAAGATCATTTTAAATGAGATTTACCACAAACCTCTGGAATCAAGCTGACATGGACACAGCAAATATTTTCACGTTTCACCCGAAACTGAAATTGACGAAAAGCTTCCACAAAAGGCATGCTCTCTATGTCACCAATGGTTCCTCCAAGCTAAAAAAAAAGTATGAGTCAGATATTGTTTGTCTAAAACAGGGTAATTTCATATCAATACCAGTATCAAATATCACCATGATGAACTAATCTAAATGTTAGGTAGTTAACAGTGAACTATCAACTGATAATTCTATAGTTAACACCAAACAACTTATTTAAAATCTCGTTATGACTACCCTAATGTTTGTCATATTCTTACCTCAATTATACACACATCTGCCTTTTTATCCCCATCTACCGGAAGTTCTGCCACACGCATGACCCAATCTTGAATTGCATTAGTGATGTGAGGAACCACTAAAATATATTTGTGACAACCAGAATGTATACTCATTTAATTTTAATGATATAATTTTTATACTAGCCTTATCTAAAATAAATTTAAATGGCTCTAAGTAGATTTATAGCAAACTTTGTCAAAAACTTTCTTATTTTAGTTAAAGAGAAAGTTTTTGACATTTGTGATTGTGAATAATGCCTTTAACCTGATTACTAACCTTGAACTGTCTTGCCTAGATAATCTCCCCTCCTTTCTCGTTTAATAACTTGTTCATATATCTTTCCAGTTGTTATGTTGTTGTCTCGAGTTAATGTTACATCTAAAAACCTTTCATAATTGCCTAAATCCAGGTCAACTTCACCACCATCATCCAACACAAAGACTTCACCTTTAAAAGGAAAATTAAGAATGGGCAATAAACAAAATATGCAAGAAGTTGCCTACTGTAACTTCTACAGACGTAAATCACAGAAAATGTCTTTCCATCTGCATATCTCATATCATACAGGGCCTTAACAACAAACGTGACAATAACATTAATTAGATTTCCCCTGCCTGCTGCGCTCATATAGAACTAGATTTAACTTCTTACATTTCTCGTCTACATGCAACTCTTTACAATGGTATACATTAATTTACATATATACATATAGGTAAGAGAAATGGTTTTTTTTAACATCAAACAAATAATTCACTACACTACTGAGTTTAATCAGATTCAAGTAATGATAATTTTGTGGAACCTACAAGTTAAAACAAGAATCAATAGGCCTATAGAATTGGAATAAAGTCCTATTTATTAATACACCTTACATATCAAACTTACCATGCTCATAAGGAGAAAAAGTTCCAGCATCAATATTGATGTAGGGATCTATTTTTATACTGGTCACTCTTACACCATGTGCTTTTAAAATTGTTCCAATGGAACTGGCAATTATTCCCTTACCCACACCACTAATGACACCTCCAGTTACGAGAACATACCTCATTTTAACACTGAAATTAAAAAATGGATGCGATTTTGTCAGTTAAAGTAGCATATAGAATTACACATACTTAATCTACCACACATTGTTTCCTTTTATTTCAAGCCTCTGTCACTTTAAAATATTATTGAATCAATGATTCCATGACAGGAGTGTTGGTATTATATTATCAATGTCTGATAATTGACTCTTTAAAAAATATTAGCAGTATTCAATATTGTAATCTCGGGGTGTTGGGAAATTGCGAGACGCGAAAAACGAAATGGCGAGGCAGGAAAATGGGAGAAGATAATGCGAGACATACCTGCGGAATCAAGGGTAAATAGCGAGACAACTTTTGCGAAAAAAAGTTTTTTTCATGCTTTATTTATTTAAATTATTTATTTTTTAAATTAACAAGCATGTAGCCATACCCTTTAACACAGTGTTGTATGTTGTTATTTTTTATCTAGATTTTATTATATACTAGCGTACCCGCCCCTGCGCGTTGCCGCGGGGATAGAAGAAAGTTTGACGAAGTATATTAGAAGGATTTTACAAACGCGTTACCAATCATGTTCTTTGACGAGTGACCTTTTCTAAAAATGAAAACAATGCCTGTGCTTGGATCATAAATATCAGGACACGGGTTTACCTACACTACCGCATGAAAACCTTGAGTGTACATTAATCACTCACCGAAATAATATGGTAGAACACACTTCGGTGACCGCCCATGTGTCAGAGACGTAGATGCCCGCTCTCAGGAGCCCCCCCCCCCCAATTACACTACCGCATAGGTGGCGTACGACCCCTGGCTCCTTAAAATAGCATCCTGTTAACAATGATGCAGATTGCATCATTCACTAAAGTGACGCAAATGAACAGGATTTGTTATTTAACACGTAAAAAAAATTATTTGATACGTTTTAAACATCAGTGTGACTGATGCAATACATTAGCGTTACTAATGGTCTATTCTTAGATGCTCGATCTCAATTTCTGGATTATCAAAAAATAGATGCTAATTGCATCATTCGCAAAGTGACGAAACTGTTTGGTTTTTTTTTACGGACAAAAAGAAATCTCCCAGTTTATAATCTAACCTTGGTTAATTTTTCTGATTATTAAAATAAAACGTATTACATGTCCCTCAGCGGCCCATGTGAGCCTTTGGGGACCGAAACAGACATTTTTATTTGCAGCCTAATCGCACCCTACCAGGGCGCCAGAGGACACGCCTGATTGAATTTTGTAGCGCTTGTAACGCCCCATCCTATCCATTGTCTATCACACTGTTTAGACCGAACGTATTCACCATAGCGCTCACGGGAAAGACCAGGGCGCCAAATCGCATCCTGCCGGGGTGCCGCCCATGCAAAATTAAATTCCCCACCGCCACCACCCACCCACATTCCCCCTCCCACCCCAGAAACCTTCTCGGGAGTATTCATCAACTCCCTTAAGTTTTATGGCACTGGGATAAATTGCGTCGAAACGCAATTGTCTTTTATTTTTATATACCGTATATAGAGGAAAATCGCACCCTCCCATGGCGCCGCCCTTGCGAAATTAAATATGATTTTTTTACAGAACCCTTCCCCGGAGTGTTCTAATTAACTCCCCTAAGTTTGATGGCAATCGGATGAACGCCGTTAAAACGGCAATCGACAGTTATTTCTATATACCGTATTTAGAGAAAATCGCACCCTCCTGTGGCGCCGCCCTTGTGAAAATAAAAATGACTTTTTTACAGAACCCTTCCCTGGAGTGTTCTAATCAAGTCATTGAAGTTTGAAGCCTATCGGATGAACAGTGTCAAATCAAAACTGACTTTTATTTTTATATACCATATGTAGAGAAAAAACAGGGGCGCCACCCCTACGAATTTGAAAATGTTTTTAGCGCAAAAACCTCCCCAGGAGTATTCTCAACATCTTACCAAAGTTTCATGGAGATCGTGAGAACAGTGTCACTGCAGTTCACTTTTATTATTTTTATATACCGTATATAGAGAAAAATCGCACCGTCCCGTGGCGCCGCCCTTGCGAATTTGAATTTTTTTTTCGCAGAAACCTCCCCAGGAATATTCACAACAACTTCCCAAAGTTTCACGGCGATGTGATGAGAGGTGTAGTAATGCATAAAGGACAAACAAACATACATACATTGCTTTTTATATATATAGATAGATATAGATAGATAATAAGAAGATAGATATATCTAGATATAGATCTATCTATTAAAAAATCCTAACATCGTTGCTGTGCTACTGTCATCGCCCGCTCTCGTTAGCGAGAGGAAAATCCCGTCTTAGTCGACATTAATTTTAAAAATCTAGCCCGCTCATGTTTATACAAACGTGAGCTGTGTCATTTTGAATTTGTATAATCTTGTCAGCAGGAGAGATATTCTGCAACATTTATTCATGGATTGTTGTGCTTGCAAAAAGTGTAAAAGTATAAACAATTCTAAAAAGTGTAATTTATTTTTTATTAAGTAATTTTAATTACAAAAAAAATCTGAAACAGTCTTAGCACTACTCAAACACACCTCGTCACACCATCTTTCACACATAGTACATCCAACCCAGTTCATTAGACTCCCATTTATACTGTGTTAACACAGAACACGGATATGAACAGAATGGAAAAAAATGTGCGTCTGTAGATAATCTGAATTAAGTCCGCTATCTACCATTTAATAGCTAAAAGGGGTCATCCATAAATGACGTCACGTTTTTTAAAATGATTTTTACCCCCCCCCCCCCCCCCCGTCACACATTTTCACAAAAATCCAGGACCCCCCCCCACTAAAATGACGTCACACCTCAGCCTACAACCCCCCTCAAAATTGCAGTTGAATTTTTTTTTAAAAACATTGATATTTTCCCAAAATCTTGTCTAATTTCTGTCAAAATAGTATATTTTAATCAATTCCTATTACAATTTATTAAAACAGTTTTCTAAACCGCGAAATAACGTCTAAAATTCTTTTTCCAATATTGCTTTTTTATAGTGTGACGTCACAACATCTAACCCCCCCCCCCCCATCACACATTTCTATGCAACAATACAAAATATGTTTCAAATATCTTCAAAGTCAGTAAATGAGGCGGCCTCGGCGTTCCACACAAAAGAAATAAGTTGATCTATCGATGGCGGTATTTCGGGCAGTTTCGAACAAGGTGGTATTCTAAGCCGACACATAAGATGGGGGGGGGGGGGCGGTGGGAGTTCACAAATCACCAGTATGTCTAGCAACAGAAAAATCGGAAGTTTTCACAATGTAAACGAAATGTCTTTGAAGTCTGCACCAAATACCAAATTTTTCGCAGAAATCTTCGCATTTTGACACCACCTAGCGTAAGTATCGGGCTGTGGTAATATGCGAGACAAAAAGTCACGTGACTGACCATCTTCGCGCCCTTCTCGCCATTTCGAATTTCGCGTCTCGCAATTTCCCAACACCCGTAATCTCGTATTCTATGATATTGTTAGAAATTAGGGTGTTAGCAGTGATCTAACACCGCTTTTAAAAGATTCCTTTAGATTTAGAATTGTTATCTCATATTCAATGATATTGTGACATTGTCAAATTAGGGCAAGGGTTGAGGTAGGAATTGGTTAAGCATTGCCATTGATTGGTATAGATCTAGATCTAGTATTTGTTTACTGTCAATACTGTGACTACCACCAGTAATCATTAGACCTACACCTACACTAACTATAACTACACTACACTACATACCACACTAAACTAGACTAGTTAGTTAAGTAATTTAAGTTACAGACAGTGACATTACTCTGGACACTGGTACAACACTTGTCTACCTAGATCTAGATCTAGTTTCTGCTAGACTCTGCAGCTAGACTCTTAGAGCCTAAATCTAGAATCTAGCTACGACTAGAATCTAGATCTAGATTCTAGATCAAGATAGAATCGTGAATCTAGTCTAGAGAGGGGCGCATCGTGGTTGAAATCTAAAGTGAAAGTCGCTAAAGTTGTAGATCTACTTTATTTAATTTATAGAATTTAGTTTGGCCGTCAGTATAAGTATTGCCTTATAATTATATTATTGAAGTTTGCTTTAATTCTAGCCAATGTCGCTATTAAAGATAATCGTAAAAAGAAATTGAATAATTCCAAAACTAGATCTAACACTTGTACTGCTGCAGTCAACCAAGAATCAGGGATAATGCTGTCGTATGATCGGCTGGTCTCGTTCGATAAAGACTACTCTTTCCCGGTTAAATAAAAATTTCTCGCAGAAGAACTATAAAGCGAAAAACATTATATCAAAATAATTATAATTTCCATTTTGCGCTTTTTTTTTTATCCTGATCATCGCATTAGTACTTTTAAACAAATTATAGGCCTAATATATAGATCCAGGCTACTTTAATTCAGACCAACAATTTAAATTTATAGTTCTAGATCTAGATCTACGTATAAAATAATTAATAAATAGATCTAGACCTTTAAGGGGGGAACGGTAGTGAAAACACATTTTCTCACAAATTATAAGATACATGCTTGTTTGAAATTGTATTAACTTTAAAATACTTTAAACATTATAACACTGTATTTATTTTGGCCAATTTATACATTTATTGCGAAATTTGGGGTCAAATTGAACAATTTTTTATGTACTCAGTAGAAACAAAATAACTAATAAAATAGATAAAAACAATGCAATGTAACTTTGCACATTCCTAGTAGACATGACAAAGGACGGTTTGTTAAAGGGAAATTTTGATATCTTACAAAATGAATTTTTTGTGAAATTTTTAAAATGAATTTTTAAAAATTCGAATGATCTTCTTTGAAAACAATACTAAAACTTGCACAACTTTTTTAACAATTGAAGTATGGCCAAACCCCTTTGCATGTTTATAGATACATATGTTTGTTACATACTGTGGCCATTTCATGTATTTCTAATAGGCACATTTTGAGTTAAATTGTTTCCCCCGAGTTCTATAGAGTAAAATTTACAAAACTGAGAAAACTCAAAATGAAGCTTTATTGTGTAAATATTTTATCATATAAATGTATTTATTAGCAAAATAATGAATAGCCTTGATAAATAACCACTTTTCCGATAATATTATTGGGGGAAACAGTAGCTTACATCACTTACAAAAAAAAATAAAAAAAATAAAGTTCGATGTCAACCTTCACTAGATATCAAAATCACCAAAAAATAAGATATACAAAAATGATTTTAGTTGAAAAATTTGAAATTTTTCAAGAAAGTTGACTACCGGTCCCCCCTTAACAAGTTATTTTTCCTCCTTTTTAGTACTTTTAGCGCACACTTTCATAAAAGATGGTTATTAAAACATTTTTACAAGCTTTTATTTAATTTGCTTCCTTGTCATGTCTAGATTGAAACAGGTGAGCAAAATTTCAATCACTTCTTACCAATTTCTCTGAAATTCGGTACGTGAACCCAGAGCCGGCGTTAGGGGGTGGCTAACGGGGCGGTCGCCCTAGGCCCCGCGCTGCAGCACTATTATTATTACCTGAATTAATTTGTAAACTTAAATAAATTGTGGCTGCATTCAATGGGGAAAAACTAAATGGTCGAATGCCGAAGTTGTTGATTGTTATAACTGAGGCCACGGTTGATGTTAGTGAGTTATCACCCACCTAAACTGGGACAGGCCGTAATTCGATACAAAAACAGTGTCACACCTCCCTGTGTGTTGGGTACGGTCGCCTCGCATTTGACCTGAGCTGACTGGAGATAGTTGGACACGAATCAGCCCCCGACCTGACATGGGATGTAAATTTGGGAAACACGTAAAGTGATACCGATGAAGACGTCCAATTTGTGAGCAGACTGGATGCCTGTAGTATACAGTTAGTGACCAGATGAACGCTAGTCCTGACTTTCTTGTTGTAGATGTCGTATATGTAGCCCTACTTGTCTTGGTATAACAAAATTAACATTCAGTTACGTGCAGAGGGGTGGGAAGAGGGCGACGAGGGGATGGGGGAAGGCCCTTAGGATCTATATCAAGGGGCATTAGACAGTGTTTTATTCCTTTGTAATCCACGACAAACATAATTACATACATACAGAATTTTCAACTTTATATATATATATATATATATATATATATATATATATATATATATAATGGAAAAAAAACAGGCCCCGCGCGGATGGTTGGCCCTATGCCCCGCGTATTCCTAACACCGGCTCTGCTCTGCGTGAACCACCACGTGGAGCAAGACCAGCAGATGACCATGCAATCTGACTACTACTCCACACTATTGTATGAACATTAACAGGTTCATTTGGTGCGCACTAGTTTTTAGTCATGAAACTATTTTATTTAGAATGAAGAAAAACAATAGCATGGCATTTAAGAGCCTTTTACATTTTTTCACGTAAACAATTGATAATGTATAATTGTTAGAAAATGACAGAATAATGTTCAGTTCACAACAAAAACATAAATAACAGTACGTGTGTACTTGAGTTTCCAAACACTATTGTCTAAAAAAGGATCTACAAAGACAACACAAAAAAGACAACATTATGCATCTCCAGCTTGATTTAGTTGAAGATCACCATCATCAACATCTGAGTCTTCACAAAAAGACATGCGGGGTGAGGGACGAAAACCCCGACTAGCTTATGAGGGAAGTTTATTACAGGCAGCCAACAAAAGTCCCAGGTATGGAGGAGATGGATTCATTGGTCTAGAAATGTACTCAGGGTGGTATTGAACACCAACGTAGTAGGGATGATCTGAAAAATTTTAAGACTGACATTAACTAAATAGGACTTGAAAGGTATATCATTCATCTAACACACTTCTAGATACAGTGTAATGTTTTTAAAGGTTTGATTACATTAACTAAAGATGACAAAAATTTTTACCTTCCAGTTCCATGATCTCCATTCTTTGATTGTCCTCAGAATGTCCTACAAATTTTAACCCTGCCTTCTCCAGCTCTTCAACTACTTTTGGATTTACCTAGAAACAAATTACTAAGTTTTTACAATCTATTTTGAATTTGGATAAGATCTACTCTACAGAAATTCTATACATTAATTTACTGCTATTTTGAAACAAAGCATTCGAAATTTGTCCACTATTATAATTACCGACCAACAAATGTGAATGAGATTGAAAAGTGTAGAAAAAAATGTAATCAGCATCAACTATACTGTCAGATACTTATTTTATATTTTTTCTTAATAAATTGTGCACACTATGGTCACTAAAATACTAAACAAAGCAGCCATATACTACACAAGGGGCTAAGAGGGTTTTATTGCAAATATTTTTGCTTTTTAAATCTGGTAATTAGTAGTATGCATGTCACAGGAGGTAAAGCACTTTGATAACAATACATTGCATAACCAACACTTTCATTAAGATTTTACAAATATTTTATGACTAAATAAATGGCCAGTTGAGGGAGAAATACTTTGGGCACTAGGTTGATTGTTGTAAGTGTTGTCTTTTTTTCTAAAACAAAACCAAAATCCCTACCTCAACTTCAAATTTAACCAGAAATGAAAAATGTCAGATTTTTATCCAGAATCGGAATTTCAACCAGATTTAACCTTGATCTACACATATAGAAAATATATACTTTTAACAGTGTCCATTCTCTCCCCCCCCCCCCCCCCAGAGAAAAAAAGTCTGGAAGAAACACTGGTGTCTGCCTGCTACCCAGGGAGAAAAATGTCGCATTTGTAGATTATACCTACTATTGGACCCTACTTCTATTATCTAGACCTGTTTTCCTGCTTTTGGCCACTAAACTCAATCATGTATTTAGTGGTTCTTTTTTCTCAGGGGGTGGGGGGGGGGGGGGGGCATTCTTTGGCAAAGAGATTCCTGAAAGAAACTCTAGCTGCAGATCACTTTTAAGATTAGACAAATAAATAAGCTGTTAATGTTAGTATCTGTAATATCAAGTACAGATGACATCATTTATTATAGTGCATTTTTTCGGCATTGGATTTTTAATTCTATGTTTATTTTAGAATCAATGACATCATATTTCTGTTGTGCTTTTCAGACTTTAGAACTACATAATTCGTTTCATTTTGAAAATTTCCTATATGTTCCATGTGACGTCACAGTCGCGGGAAGTTTTGTTTTTCGTTTGACTGTGAACATTTTTAGTTTCCTTGTGTTTTCTCTAGAGCATTCCCGACAGACAGAAAGACAGAATAGCGGAAATATTATATATTTGCAATAGATTTACCTCATATCTGTGCCTATGCCGTTCATCCACATATTGAGAATTGTGATAAAGTTTTCCTGCAGAAAAAAAAAACCACTAAGTAAAACACTTGTTCATTATTTTAGATAACTAAATTGCAATATATCCATTAAGTTTTATTATAATATCAAATGTTACACTCACTGATCAAACTGTTTTCTGTCTTGAAGATGGTTCTCCGCTTTCCAAGTCTCATAGTGCCCCCTTTATCACCTGAATTGTGCTCAGGCATTTCAATTACCTGCAGGAGATTAAGAGGCAAACTTGACTTAACACAAAAACTCTTAGTGGGTTGTTTTTACTTTTTTTAAAACTCTTACATTATCAAAATGCTGATTCAGAAACTAGCAGAACATAAAAATGGTTTACCACTGGATGCTTAGTGTCCATGTTAAGTTCTGTAGAGTTGGCATCTTCCCAACCCAACACATTTCGAGCAAACTCTATAACAGCACACTGTAATCCCAGACACACCCCTAAAGATGAAATGTTTAATAAATAAATCAGTAAATTCAAGTTTATAAACAAAATAAGATAAGCTAAAAATAAAATAAGTTAAAAGACTTGTTTCTAGCATACAAAAAAAAAACTGACCAAGAAATGGAATATTCTTTGTTCTGGCCCATTTACATGCTAAGATTTTTCCTTCAGTGCCCCTGGTACCAAATCCACCAGGAACTATAACACCACTAAAATAAGACATCAAATTATGCAAATTATAAGAAAAATTGGTAACCGATAGCAACATTAGCTCAATTGTATACTAATCAAAATTCCAGACAAAATGGTAGTAAAATGTCGTGTTTTATAATTGTTGCAATAAGAAATTACATACTTTGCACCAACAAGCTCTCTCCAAGCCTGCTGGTATTTTTGTGGATTTTCATTCTCCATTGCAGGCTCCAAATCTGCAGCTTCAATACACTGCAGAAAAGAAATAAAATATCAGTCTTGGCAAGAGGTTACATGTGCTTATGGTATGGGATTTTAG